GTATGGGGGGCAATGTGTCTATGGGGGGCAATGTGTGTATAGGGGGGCAGTATGGGTGGCAGTGTGGGTGTATGGGGGGGCAATGTGTGTATAGGGGGCAGTATGGGGGGGCAGTATGGGTGTATGGGGGGCAATGTGTGTATGGGGGGGCAGTATATGTGTATGTGGGGGCAGTATGGGGCGCAATGTGTGTATAGGGGGGCAGTATGGGTGTATGGGAGGGCAGTATGGGTGTATGGGAGGGCAGTATGGGGATCAGTGTATGTGTGTAGAGTGTGTGTGTGTGTGATAAGGGTAGGGGGGCTTTTTAAAAAATATATATATTTTTTAATTTAGTTTAATAAAAATAATCATTATGTCCCCCCTCCCTTCTTACCTTTACTGGGGAGGAGGGGGGACATTTCCCTGGTGGTCCGGTGGGCGATTCATTGGTGGTCCGGTGGGGGATTCCCTGGTGGTCCCAGTGGTGATGAGAGTGAACTCTAGCCCGCGCTCCCAGGCTTGAGTTCACTCTCGCGAGATTTGGAGCGTTGCCGTGGTAACCGCGGCAACGCTCCAAATCTCACGAGAGGAGGACCCGGAGGAGCTGCAGACTGAGCTCCGGGTCCTCTCTCTCCTCCCTCTCCCTCCCCTGCTGGCTGTCAGCACAGTGCCTGCGGACCGGGGAGGGAGATCTGTGATCTTCCCCCCGGTCCGCAGGCACATTGCAGGGCTGGCACCTGCATGTGCTGGCAGGGGAGGGAGAGGGAGACCGGCGGATTTCTCGGGAGGGGGGGGCAATTGCCCCGTTGCCCCCCCCCTGGATCCGCCACTGCCTACCACACATCCTAAAGGAATAACCCTGCTTAATCCCACCTAGCACACATCCTAAAGGAATAACCTTGCTTAATCCCACCTAGCATAAATCCTAAAGGAATAACCCCGCTTAAACCCACCTACCACACATCCTAAAGGAATAATCCTACTTAATCCCACCTAGCATACATCCTAAAGGAATAATCCTACTTAATCCCACCTAGCATACATCCTAAAGGAATAACCCTGCTAAATCCCACCTAGCACACATCCTAAAGGAATAACCCTGCTTAATCCCACCTAGATACATCCTAAAGGAATAACCATGCTTAATCCCGCCTAGCATACATCCTAAAGGAATAACCATGCTTAATCCCGCCTAGCATACATCCTAAAGGAATAACCCTGCTTAATCCCACCTAGCACACATCCTAAAGGAATAACCCTGCTTAATCCCACCTAGATACATCCTAAAGGAATAACCATGCTTAATCCCGCCTAGCATACATCCTAAAGGAATAACCATGCTTAATCCCGCCTAGCATACATCCTAAAGGAATAATCCTACTTAATCCCACCTAGCATACATCCTGAAGGAATAACCCTGCTTAATCCCACCTAGCATCCATCCTAAAGGAATAACCTTGCTTAATCCCACCTAGCATCCATCCTAAAGGAATAACCTTGCTTAATCCCACCTAGCATACATCCTAAAGGAATAACCTTGCTTAATCCCACCTAGCATACATCCTAAAGGAATAACCCTACTTAATCCCACCTAGCATACATCCTAAAGGAATAACCTTGCTTAATCCCACCTACCACACATCCTAAAGGAATAACCTTGCTTAATCCCACCTAGCATACATCCTAAAGGAATAACCTTGCTTAATCCCACCTAGCATACATCCTAAAGGAATAACCTTGCTTAATCCCACCTAGCATACATCCTAAAGGAATAACCTTGCTTAATCCCACCTAGCATACATCCTAAAGGAATAACCTTGCTTAATCCCACCTAGCATACAGCCTAAAGGAATAACCTTGCTTAATCCCACCTAGCATACATCCTAAAGGAATAACCCTGCTTAATCCCACCTAGCAAACATCCTAAAGGAATAACCCTGCTTAATCCCACCTACCACACATCCTAAAGGAATAACCCTGCTTAATCCCGCCTACCACACATCCTAAAGGAATAACCCTGCTTAATCCCGCCTAGCATACATCCTAAAGGAATAACCCTACTTAATCCCACCTATCATACATACAAAAGGAATAACCCTACTTAATCCCACCTAGCATACATCCTAAAGGAATAACCCTGCTTAATCCCGCCTACCACACATCCTAAAGGAATAACCCTGCTTAATCCCGCCTAGCATACATCCTAAAGGAATAACCCTAATTAATCCCACCTAGCATACATCCTAAAGGAATAACCTTGCTTAATCCCACCTATCATACATCCCAAAGGAATAACCCTGCTTAATCCCAACTAGCATACATCCCAAAGGAATAGCCCTGCTTAATCCCACCTAGCATACACCCAAAAGGAATAACCCTACTTAATCCCACCAAGCATACATCCTAAAGAAATAACCCTGCTTAATCCCACCTAGCATACATCATAAAGGAATAACCCTGTCTCAATCCCACCTAGCATACATCCTAAAGGAATAATCCTGCTTAATCCCACCTACCATACATCCTAAAGGAATAACCCTGTCTCAATCCCATTTAGCATACATCCTAAAGGAATACCCCTGCTTAATCCCACCTAGCATACACCCAAAAGGAATAACCCTGCTTAATCCCACCTAGCAAACATCCTAAAGGAATAACCCTGCTTAATCCCACCTACCACACATCCTAAAGGAATAACCCTGCTTAATCCCGCCTACCACACATCCTAAAGGAATAACCCTGCTTAATCCCGCCTAGCATACATCCTAAAGGAATAACACTAATTAATCCCACCTAGCATACATCCTAAAGGAATAACCTTGCTTAATCCCACCTATCATACATCCCAAAGGAATAACCCTGCTTAATCCCACCTAGCATACATCATAAAGGAATAACCCTGTCTCAATCCCACCTAGCATACACCCAAAAGGAATAACCCTACTTAATCCCACCAAGCATACATCCTAAAGAAATAACCCTGCTTAATCCCACCTAGCATACATCATAAAGGAATAACCCTGTCTCAATCCCACCTAGCATACATCCTAAAGGAATAATCCTGCTTAATCCCACCTACCATACATCCTAAAGGAATAACCCTGTCTCAATCCCATTTAGCATACATCCTAAAGGAATACCCCTGCTTAATCCCACCTAGCATACACCCAAAAGGAATAACCCTACTTAATCCCACCTAGCATACATCCTAAAGGAATAACCCTGTCTCAATCCCACCTAGCATACATCCTAAAGGAATAATCCTGCTTAATCCCACCTACCATACATCCTAAAGGAATAACCCTGCTTAATCCTGCCTAGCATACATCCTAAAGGAATAACCCTACTTAATCCCACCTAGCATACACCCAAAAGGAATAACCCTACTTAATCCCACCTAGCATACATCCTAAAGGAATAACCTTGCTTTATCCCACCTAGCATACATCCTAAAGGAATAACCCTGTTTCAATCCCACCTAGCATACATCCAAAAGGAATAACCCTGCTTAATCCCAACTAGCATACATCCTAAAGGAATAACCCTGCTTAATCCCACCTAGCATACATCCTGAAGGAATAACCCTGCTTAATCCCACCTAGCATACATCCTAAAGGAATAACCCTGCTTAATCCCACCTATCATACATCCAAAAGGAATAACCCTGCTTAATCCCACCTAGAATACATCCTAAAGGAATAACCTTGCTTAATCCCACCTAGCATACATCCTAAAGGAATAACCCTACTTAATCCCACCTAGCATACATCCTAAAGGAATAACCTTGCTTAATCCCACCTAGCATACATCCTAAAGGAATAACCCTACTTAATCCCACCTAGCATACACCCAAAAGGAATAACCTTGCTTAATCCCACCTAGCATACATCCTAAAGGAATAGCCCTGCTTAATCCCACCTAGCATACATCCTAAAGGAATAACCCTGCTTAATCCCACCTAGCATTCATCCTAAAGGAATAAACCTACTTAATCCCACCTATCATACATCCTAAAGGAATAACCCTGCTTAATCCCACCTAGCATCCATCCAAAAGGAATAACCCTGCTTAATCCCACCTAGCATACATCCTAAAGGAATAACCCTACTTAATCCCACCTAGCATACACCCAAAAGGAATAACCCTGCTTAATCCCACCTAGCATACATCCTAAAGGAATAGCCCTGCTTAATCCCACCTAGCATACATCCTAAAGGAATAACCCTGCTTAATCCCACCTAGCATACATCCTAAAGGAATAAGCCTACTTAATCCCACCTAGCATAAAGGAATAACCCTACTTAATCCCACCTAGCATACACCCTAAAGGAATAGCCCTGCTTAATCCCACCTAGCATACATCCTAAAGGAATAACCCTGCTTAATCCCACCTAGATACATCCTAAAGGAATAACCCTGCTTAATCCCATCTAGCATACATCCTAAAGGAATAACCCTGCTTAATCCCACCTAGCATACATCCTAAAGGAATAACCCTGCTTAATCCCACCTAGCATACACCCTAAAGGAATAACCTTGCTTAATCCCACCTAGCACACATCCTAAAGGAATAACCCTGCTTAATCCCACCTAGCACACATCCTAAAGGAATAACCCTACTTAATCCCACCTAGCATACATCCTAAAGGAATAACCCTACTTAATCCCACCTAGCATACATCCTTAAGGAATAACCCTGCTTAATCCCATCTAGCATACATCCTAAAGGAATAGCCCTGCTTAATCCCACCTAGCATACATCCTAAAGGAATAACCCTGCTTAATCCCACCTAGCATACATCCTAAAGGAATAAGCCTACTTAATCCCACCTAGCATAAAGGAATAACCCTACTTAATCCCACCTAGCATACACCCTAAAGGAATAGCCCTGCTTAATCCCACCTAGCATACATCCTAAAGGAATAACCCTGCTTAATCCCACCTAGATACATCCTAAAGGAATAACCCTGCTTAATCCCATCTAGCATACATCCTAAAGGAATAACCCTGCTTAATCCCACCTAGCATACATCCTAAAGGAATAACCCTGCTTAATCCCACCTAGCATACACCCTAAAGGAATAACCTTGCTTAATCCCACCTAGCACACATCCTAAAGGAATAACCCCGCTTAATCCCACCTAGCACACATCCTAAAGGAATAACCCTACTTAATCCCACCTAGCATACATCCTAAAGGAATAACCCTACTTAATCCCACCTAGCATACATCCTTAAGGAATAACCCTGCTTAATCCCATCTAGCATACATCCTAAAGGAATAACCCTGCTTAATCCCACCTAGATACATCCTAAAGGAATAACCCCACTTAATCCCACCTACCACACATCCTAAAGAAATAACCTTGTCAGAGGCAAACCAGGTAAAAGCAGGACTGGTGCATTCATTTGTAAGAATCAAGTATGTCTCCCTACCCTGTACACCTTATTTCCCCCTTCAGTTTTTCCCCTGATTGCTCAGTTTCTCCTTGTCCAATACCCCATACGACACTTCACATTTAGGATTTCAGGGTTATTAACTAAACTGAGAGATCGCACTGTATTTAAAAATAGCCAAATTGGAAAAAGTCAGCGTTGCTTTCAGTTTGGCCATTTAGCCCTTAAAAGGACGACTAAAGCCTAGAATGTAGGTTTAAATAGAGCTCTAGTAGTAGTCCACTTGACAGCCACTAGAGGCACTTCAGCAGTTTTTACAGCCAAACTGTAAGGAGCATTGGGTTGGACATTAAGAAGTGTTGGAGATGCCACAGGAGGCAAATTGAGTGTGTGCATGGACAGTAATTACCCCCTCCTCCAACGTTTTTATTTAGATTTATGGGACGGGAAGGGGGAGGAGTGCATTCATCTAAAAAACGATGAGCGTTAGGATACAGGATTGTCTTTAATTTAAATTCTAACTATATCAAGAAATTGACAAAATTTGCCCTGTTTAGACAATAAAAAGGGACCTTCTCTAAATACCCAAATTAGATTTTTATTTTTTTTAAATTTGAAGTGTCTCCCAAGTAATTCACAATGAGAGAAAAAAAACAAAACAAAAAACAAACCCACACTTTGCACTACAAACAAGTAAAAACGCTAAAATACTGTATGACAAACTAAATAGTAACACATGATCTGCTGATTATTCCATGGGCATATCATGGTTTCAAAACCCTCACTGGACAGCAGGTGACCGTGCACTGTTCATTAAAATCTACAACCGGTGCGGTCACTGACACAGCGCAGGGGCAGTGATCTCACAGAAAGCATTTCTTTACGTCTAAGACTGCAAGCTCATTTAACGGCTTTCTTCACCTCTGTCAGTCAGTACTATTTGTTTGTCTGTCTGTCAATTTCTTGTTCTTATACATCCCCATTGTATAATTGTGAAACACAGCTGTGGCGAAAGTAACCTCGCCACTGGTTTTTGGAGGGGCGTGTTTGCCAGCCTCCGACTCTATGACTATGGTCCCTCTGCTGTTACTATGGCCCCTGTGTTACACGCTGGTTGAAAAATACGTTTTTTCAAAACCGTATTTTCAAACACTTCAAACTCACGAATGGTCAAAGTGGTACGAAGCAGCATTCGAACACATGGCAGCGGGCATCTTAAGCCGCGAGTACAATGAGCGGTGTTTGGTCGTCGAGTTCATGGAACTTAAATCGAACACTCGACAGCACGAACACTGCTGAATATTTACCTTTCACGGCTGTTCGACTACTCAAACGGGAGTCGAACAGCGTTCTGTGGGAATAAGCTCCCGAACCAGAGACATAGACTGAGCCTACTCACAAGGCTATACTCTCTGTATTTTGTATTTACTTCGAATTCTCGAAGTGGACCGACCACACTGCTTGATTCTCTGGAACTGCTTTGGGCATGGCACCATGCGAGCCGTCGGTGACTTTCATAAAATTCCTTAACTGATCTGGATGATTTTTGGATATGTTGGTCACCCCGATCAGAGCTATCAGGGAAGTGACATTTGTGGAGATATGTGTTTTGGGGTACTTTTGGGACTTTAGAAATGTGAGGGGTTTTTTCTACCTGGAGATAATTGGGTTAATACAGTATTTAAATCAATTATCATCCAGGCAGTGGGGAGGGATTGTGTGCGGGAGTATCATGCAATGGAAAACTGTTCTTATTGGTCTGTGAATATTGTAACTCAGTTCCCCACAAGGTCCATGTGGGCGTACCCCTTGCATGGGGATTGTCATATAAGGCCAAGTGTGGCACCATTAAAATTAGTTCCTCTTTTTCCTCAACATAGAGAGAGTCTTGACTCATGTGTGGATGGGACAGCTATATTCACTCTGGGGATTGCTATACTCATTATACTCCCCTGGGATTCTAATCACTGGCTCTTATAAGAGCTGTTCCTGCTATACTCTCTGGAGTAGGAGAGGTTCACCCACTGGAAGCTGGATCCTGGTCTTTGATCCAGGGTGGGTGGAGGACGGCAACACCCTAGCCAAGCTGCGGTGGTTTGTGGGGTCTACGGTGCTGATGGAGTGCTTAGAGTCCTCGGTGAGCACTAGGAGCATAGATTGGTGGAGGCATCTGGTTGGGGTGCCAGGCGGTCTGTCACAACAGCAACAAATGTTGGCACTATATAAATCATAATAGTAATGTTCAGCTCCATGAAAACTTTCCAAAGTCTCTTTTTGTCGCCGTGAGTCACAACAAATACTTTCACAGTCTGCTTCACCTCTACAGATACTGGAATGATACCTCACTCCCATCATACGATGTTCTTCTCCTTGTGTGCCTCTACCTAACTTCCTCATAGAACATAAGCTCACTGGAGCCTGTCCATATCACCTCTGTCAACATTGTATGCAATGAATTGCTGTTTTGTATCCAATTTGTAATATTGTAGAATGTGGAGAAATATATGCTGGCATTATGATGATAGGAATAAAAATATCCCAGATCGGTGGAAGTTATACTGCAAGGCATCAGCGATCATCTCCAGGTTCCTACATTAATTCTGTCCTTCTAGCAACAGGATTTTACTAAGTGGAGAAGGTCAGGAGATGCAAAAATTTGTCCAGAACAAGCACTTGTCCTTTAAAGATTTTTCATGATTCTGCCTGTATAATCTACACATCTACTGTACTTCTAGAGAAAAATATTTTCAAAACTTGACACTTTTTTTTTTTTTTTTTTTAAACGGACACTTGGCACCAAAACAACTTTAGCTTAACTGGGTGGTTTATCTGTATAGATCACAGCTCTAAGTTTGCCACCAGTGGCTGTCTACCAGACAGCCACTGGGGGAGCTTCCGGAATTTAAACTGACTTTTGGTCTGTTATCGGACGCTGAACGTCCTCATGCTCTGCATGAGGGTCTCCAGCGTCAGATTTTCCCCATAGGAAAGCATTGAATGAAGCTTTCATATGGAGAGGTCTAATGCGCGCGCAGCCATTGATGCGTATGCGCATTAGGTCTCACCTGCCGGCTAACGTCAGCAGGGGAGGAGCCTGACCCAATGCCGAGGGACTTCCTCACTGGACTAAGGAAAGTGGCTGAAGGCAATACAAAGCAAGTTTCCCTAGGATGCATTGCACCTGGGAGGTTTATAGCACCGCCCCTGCATGCCGTGGCGTTGAGTGTGGAGGTGTTGGAGCCATTCTGGAAATTGTTTGCAGTTGTTTTGAGACTTTTTGGTGCATTTCTCAAGCTGTGGAAAGGTAGGGAGCTGAGCTTACTCGTTTGCATGCCTTTTATTGTGGGTTCTGCATTGTGGGTTGGTTTCCATGCCAGCTCATTTTGACTTTTTTCTGACCTCCAGAACGGATTCATTGGTTTTCAGTACATTCCTATTGGAAACCACGTTTCGGTTTACAAATGTTTCGCAATAAGAAACGTCCCGGAGAACACATTCAATTCGTAAAATGAGGTCCCACTGTATATGGTTTACAACGCAGACAAGCCAGGAAATTTACCGAGGGGCATTGTGAACTGCAGTATTTGCGTTACCAGATTCAGTCAAAGATTTTATGTCATTTAGCAATGCTCACAAAGTTTCCAAGATCTGAATGGTGAGGTTTTGAAAAGTGGGTATCGGATAGTTTGCATTCTCATGTGGCTGTTTCACCATCAATTTCTACCAAATTTTCTGAGAACAAGATTCGGTCTGCATTTTCCCCCCCATTTACACACACTGCATTGCATCAGATGGAGTGTGATGTAGCAAAAAAAAAAAATAAAAATTAAAAATAACCCCTTGAGGGTCATAATCTTTTGATGTTGCTAAGAATTAAAGATGAAAACAATTTTGGCATTTCTGCTATGTGGTTGTTCAACCACAATTTCCCTCTTTTGTTTTTAGTTCACCCACACATTATATATTGTTTTGTCTTTGTTTATTTTTTGGCTTTCAGTACATGCGACAGAAAACTTTTCTAACTTAAAAATTACCATAAGTAGGTTAAGAAAAGTATTTCAGATAAATGTACTTATCTTTATAAATTCTGAGGGTCCATAAGAGTAGAAGTATTTTTTTTATAGTTACATGTAACAAATCATCATTTTGTCAATCATCGCCCCTCCTAATTTCAATATTATTGATCAGTTAATTTTGCCTGTTTAGGTACATTTTTCTAACTTACACATTAAAATGAGTCACTAAACGCATGCATTTTGCAAAATTACGCAACCCTTTGTTTCTGGGAAGGTAAAAAACAAATTATTTTTAGCCAGTCTTCCGGGCAAAGATGAGTCCAGGTGTACTCAAATTCCACAGTAAAAGAAATTAATGAATTTAAGTAAATCTAAATCTTGTTTTATTTATTTTTGAATTTTGAGTGTTTGGATTTACTTCTGCAAAGAAGAGTTTTCATCCTTTTATTTCCCCCCTAGGGTTTCGGTTGAGAACCTGTGTTCCTTCAGTACGGACTACCCATCATTTGGAAGTCGGGATTTGGACATTTAGTTAGATTAAGTTGTCCTGTTCTAAATTGTGATTTTTTTTATCCCACTGCTTGCCTTGAATATTTAAATACACACTGTGCATTTTGGGGGCCTTTTTGAGGTCCCAAGGACTATAATGACACACTATAGTGTAATCCCAGGATTTTGGAGCTATTAGGAGTTTCAATGTAGGGAAGCAACTCGAAGGTTACCGGTCTTAAAGACTGTCAATAACTCCAAACTCATCCAGACTCAAGTGAGTAACGGTCCATGACTCTTTCAAGGAAAGTGTTATCTGATTCTCAATCCCTCTTAATCCTAGGCCCAAACCTAATCCAAAATGACCACACTCTACACATGGCCCTGTTCTGTAAAATGCCATTGAGCACGAAGGTAGGAACATGCATGGATCTTTTCAGAGCCTGTGGAACTCCTCCTTACTAGGAGGATACTTACCCAAGACATCACTGTGTTGTGGCTCAATGATTCAACCATGATAAATCCAATAGAGCTGTGGAGTGCTCACTTTGAGATGTGCAGACATTTAATAATTCAGTAACCATTAAATTTAGTCCGTACTGAAAGTCGGGAGCCACTGTAATTATGGTGCCAGGCACAGTGTGCCATGGCATCAACCATAGTAAGACCACCTACATTGATCCTGCACTGCTTTTAAGTGACATCTGGCTGTTCTTGCTGGAGCCCCCAAAAGGACCCTAGTAAATGGTCAAACTGTGGTGAAAACAAACTATTTGACATCTTACCGTGGGATGGCACTAGGCACTCCTGGCACCATTACCCCTACAGCGAGCCATAATAGATCGGAAGCAAAGATACAATTTTTAGGAAAGTTACTTGCAAAATAATAAAAATTACAATCTGCACATAAAATAAAATAAATAAATAAAAAAAACACACACAAAAACAGGTAACCCTCCAAACATTAAACACACAATTCTCTTAGAACTTTATTTCTTTCCTTCACATGAAATCTCCTCTATAGTGGCAATTTTTAAACATCCAAGGTGCTGGTTCTTTTGGAGCTTATAAAAATATAAACAATAACAGCAATAAAACAACCACAAATTACAGCCAAGAGCGTTAAGCAATAATCAACCGCCCACAATGAAGATAATCCAGTTCCAGACAACCAATTCCTAGCAATTTAAAGAATACCCCAGTTCCAATCACCTCGTTATATTCTACGGTTTACAACATGGGTCGTCAACCTGGTCCCTACCGCCCACTAGTGGGCATTTCAGGATTCCAGGTGGGCGGTAGGGATATCCTCATTTGGAGAGATTGGGTGGGCGGGTGTGAGCCGGAGGTATCCCTGCGACCAGGTACTGCCATCACCATCTGCCCGGCCTGGGCGGCAAACCACCGGGGCTGCCGTCCAAGGGTTCCATCGGGTGGCCCATGCTGTCATGGCCACCCAATGGATGTGGATTGTGAGGGGGCCCGTTCAGCGCGGAGCGCTTTAATAGCACGCCCGCCCCCCGGTGATTACATCACAGAGCTGGGAGGAAGTGACTGCACGTCACTCCTCCCAGCTAACACTGAGAGTCGCGCGGGAGTTAGACCAGGGAGTCAGAGTGGGAACTCTGACTCCCATCCACCTGAGCCACCACTGGACCCCATGGAATGTCACCCTCCTGCACCTTAAAGGTAGGAAACAGGAGGGTGACTTAAATATAATGTGTGTGTCTCTTTGTATGTATGTCTTGTGTGTGTCTGTATGTGTGTCTTTGTATGTATGTCGTATGCCTGCGTGTGCCTCTGCCTGCCCGTCTGCGTGTGCCTCCGCCTGCCCGTCTGCGTGTGCCTCCGCCTGCCCGTCTGCGTGTGCCTCCGCCTGCCCGTCTGCGTGTGCCTCCGCCTGCCCGCCTGCGTGTGCCTCCGCCTGCCCGCCTGCGTGTGCCTCCGCCTGCGTGTGCCTCCGCCTGCGTGTGCCTCCGCCTGCGTGTGCCTCCGCCTGCGTGTGCCCCTGCCTGCCCGTCTGCGTGTGCGCCTGCCTGCCCGTCTGCGTGTGCGCCTGCCTGCCCGTCTGCGTGTGCGCCTGCCTGCCCGTCTGCGTGTGCGTGCCTGCCACAATATATTAGGATGCAGATATCACAAGAGGGGCAGGATATTACATAATGAGGAAGAGACTCCCCATTGGGGGGGAGAGGTGGGGGGAGAAGCATCCTGGTGTGCAGACGTCCAATGGGGGGGACGTGGGGAGCAGCATCCTTGGGCGTAGACGTCCCACTGGGGGGAGGGGAGCAGCATCCTGGGGCGCAGACACCCCACTGGGGGGGGAGGGGAGCAGCATCCTGGGGGCACAGATGTCCCAATGGGGAGGGCATGCTGGGGAGCAGACGCCCCAAGGAGGGGGGGGTTATACTGGGGAGCAGACTCCAAGCGAGGGGATAATACTGGGGAGCAGACGCCCCAAGAGAGAGGGGATAATACTGGGGAGCAGACGCCCCAAAAGAGAGGGGGGATAATACTGGCAGCAGACGCCCCCAAGGAGAGGGAATAATACTGCGGGAGCAGAGACGCTCCCCAAGGAGAGGGGGGGATAATCGGTGAGCAGGACGCCACAAGGAGAGGGGATAATACTGGTGGAGCAGACGCCCCAAGGAGAGAGGGGGATAATACTCGGGGAGCAGGACGCATCCAAGCGAGAGGGATAATACTGGGAGCAGACTCCATCCAAGGAGAGGTAAAGTATAATACTAGAGCAGACTTTTCAAGGAGAGGGGGATAATACTGGGAGCAGACTCTGCGAGAGGAGGGGTGCATGTACACTGGGGAGCAGCAGAGACACCCCAAGAGAGGAGGGTCAATACTGGGGAGCAGACACCCCAAGGAGAGGAGGGGATAATACTGGGGAGCAGACGCCCCAAGGAGAGGAGGGGATAATACTGGTGAGCAGACGCCCCAAGGAGAGGAGGGGACAATACTGGGGAGCAGACACCCCAAGGAGAGGAGGGGACAATACGGGGGAGCAGACACCCCAAGGAGAGGAGGGGATAATACTGGTGAGCAGACGCCCCAAGGAGAGGAGGGATAATACTGGTGAGCAGACGCCCCAAGGAGAGGGGGGATAATACTGGTGAGCAGACGCCCCAAGGAGAGGGGGGATAATACTGGGGAGCAGACGTCCCAAGGAGAGGGGGGATAATACTGGGGAGCAGACACCCCAAGGAGAGGAGGGGACAATACTGGGGCGCAGACACCCCATGGAGAGGGGGGATAATACTGGAGAGCAGACACCCCATGGAGAGGGGGGATAATACTGGGGAGCAGACACCCCATGGAGGGAGGAGCAAACACCCCATGGAGAGGGGGGGGATAATACTGGGGAGCAGACACCCCATGGAGGGAGGAGCAGACACCCCATGGAGGGGGGGATACTGGGGATAGACACCCCATGGAGAGGGGGGATAATACTGGGGGAGCAGACACCCCAAGGAGAGGGGGATGGGGAGCAGACACTCAAGCTGAGAGGGGGGGATAATATCAGAGCAGACACCCCAAGGAGAGGGGGGGGACAATACTGGGAGCAGACACCCCATGGAGGGGGGATAATACTGGGGAGCAGACACCTATGGAGAGGGGGGGGATACTGGGGGGAGCAGACACCCCAAGGAGGGGGGATAATACTGGGGAGCAGACAATCTCCCATGGAGAGGGGGGGATAATACTGGGGAGCAGACACCCCAAGGAGAGGGGGGATACATTGGGGAGCAGACACCCCAAGGAGAGGGGGATAATACTGGGGGAGCAGACACCCAAGGAGAGGGGGGGACAATACTGGGGACAGACACCCCATGGAGTGGGGGGGGGAGGGATAATACTGGGGAGCAGACACCCCATGGAGAGGGGGGGATAATACTGGGGAGCAGACACCCCAAGGAGAGGTGGGGGATAATACTGGGGAGCAGACACCCCAAGGAGAGGGGGACACACAGAGCAGACACCCCATGGAGGGGGGATAATACTGGGGATAGACACGCCATGGAGAGGGGGGGGATACACTGGGGAGCAGACACCCCAAGGAGAGGGGGGGATAATACTGGGAGCAGACACCCCATGGAGGGGGGGGGATAACACAGGGAGCAGACACGCCATGGAGAGGGGGGGGGGATAATACTGGGGAGCAGTGACACCATGGAGAGGGGGGGGATAATACTGGGGAGCAGACACGCCATGGAGAGGGGGGGATACTGGGGAGCAGACACGCCATGGAGAGGGGGGGGGATAATACTGGGGAGCAGACACGCCATGGAGAGGGGGGGGGATAATACTGGGGAGCAGACACCCCATGGAGGGGGGGGGGATAATACTGGGGAGCAGACACGCCATGGAGAGGGGGGGGGATAATACTGGGGAGCAGACACCCCAAGGAGAGGGGGGGGGATAATACTGGGGAGCAGACACCCCATGTCAATGTAGTTTATAGAGTAAGGAGTTCACATATGGCAGCATACTGAGAGCCCAGCCTAATAAGTGACAATATTGGGGAGAAGCCCCTCCAGCTGTGACAGACAGTACTCACCAGGGCAGCATGAAGCGAATGGAGGGGTGTCCGAGTCTTATTAAACTTTCCTGTTTCTTAAAGCCGACACTGCAAACTTTCAGCGCTACTTCCGGCTCCTCCAGCCCTCAGCGTCTGCGTCAGCGTGATGTCAAAGCAAAGGGGCGTTCCTCGATGGAGAGGGCAGGTTTAGTCGCTGCAATATTTGGAGATTGCGTTTCAAGCCTCGACTTGAAGTCCAGCCCCTCCTTCTGCTGCTGATTGGCCAGTCAACACTTACAACCCGGGCAGTGATTGGCTACTGAAATGAACCGCTCTTGATTTTTTGATTGGTTAGCTGGAAGCGGTTCCCGAGCGCTGATTGGCTATCCGCGGGAAGCTGCCGTGCTCTGATTGGCTGTCTCATGGCGGCGGGATAGTTTTAAAGCGCACGGTAACGGTCAACAGAGCTGCCATGTCCGCCAAGCAGATTTACTATTCCGACAAATACGACGACGATAAATTCGAGTATCGGTGAGTGGGCTGTATATTGAGGGCTGTATACAATGCTGTGTGCGCCTCTCCCCCATGATACCCTGCCAGCTCTGCCCTCTGTGATAGCTCACCCACCATAGCTGCCAAGTGGCCCGCTGTAGGAGGGACAGTCCCTCTATGTGGCTCACAGCCCCTGTCTGTCCTCCTGTCTGAGCTCCATGCTGGTGTGTGAGTGTAACAGAGCAATCATACTTCCTGTAATGTCTCTAATCTCTAATAATCAGTCTGTGTGAGTGACACATTGCTTATTGTATTAAATTACATTGTAGCTGAATAAATTAAATTATACAATTTCAGAACAGCCCCTCTCTACCTGCTACTAACTCTTACTAAGATCATTATTCTGGCTCTCTGTTGTTTCACTGTGTTATTCCATTTATAATACCCTCCTATAATACTTGCTACATGTCCTCCTATAATACATGCTACATGTCCTCCTATAATACATACTACATGTCCTCCTATAACGCCTGCTACATCTCTACAGTCTATTCTGTGATGCCCTCTGCCTGGCATACCTTATTCTGCACTGGATTATTGCCTGTGTGATGTTATGACATTTGTAATGGTTGGTTACTGTGTATTTTATCACATACTGCATTGCCGTGTTTTGTTTACCTGCTGACTAATACCATTCTCGTACATATTGCCCTTTGTGCTCATATCTTGCTCTCTGGAGATTATAACGTTTCATTGAGAAGCATTGGGGGCCCTATGGTACATTAGAAGCAATCACTAGGCCATTGAGATGCTGCGATTTATACAAATAAGTAATTCCTATAATTGCCCAAAAGCTTAATTGTAAGCATTCAGTGTTGTTGTGACGCCACTGAATATGAAGATTTTGACTTGTTTAAGATTTTCACCAAGACCTATCCTCTATTGGCTAGAGGGTGCAGCGGGAGGTAGATATATTTACCTGAAGTTGTCACCATCTTCTGAAGTAGCGTCTTCTTTAATTGCGAGCACTCTATCTACCAGTATCTGAACTACTCAGATGTGGCAGTCACTTTAAATGAAGGATTTAAAAAAAAAAAAAAATTTTTTACTTGCATTTAGACCGCAGCGTGCTACTATTGCTGTTCCTACCCTGGTTGAGATCCACATTGGATATGTTCTCCAATCCAACTGGTCCTGTTGCTTTTTCTGGGTTTTTTTTTTTCTCTAATTGCTCAACGCAGGTAATTGCCTAGTGCACCTGCCTCGCAAGACTTTGAGGAGCTGCGATGGAAAGTCTAACTAGACCGACACCAATGCCGAATTTCATACGTTTGAGCATTGGCTTGTTGCTTCCACTTCTTACAAGTGTTGCTGACTCTATTTGTTTTACAGGCATGTAATGCTGCCGAAGGATATTGCAAAGATGGTCCCTAAAACGCACCTTATGTCGGAGACAGAATGGAGGAATCTGGGAGTTCAGCAGAGTCAGGGCTGGGTACACTACATGATCCACGAGCCTGGTGAGTTGTAATGATTTTTTTGGGGTATATTATTGTGTGACTCAGATGTACTTGTTTCCTGTAGTGTATCAAACATTTTACTTGAAACATGCTTGCATTCAGTTAAACTGTCACTTACTCAAATCTGTTCTTGTCATTTGATAAACCTCATTATTCTTAGAGGGTGGAGTAAAGATGTAGGTTAGCAGGTTGTCTCACAGCCCACCCCACAACTGCAGAACTTGTATTGGCAAGCAAACTTGGATGAGGGTGGAGTTATCTCAACCAGCATAGTGAGTTAAACTATGTATGTGCAGCTTTTACATAGTGAAATGTTGCATATACACAATCCATGCACCTTTACCACTTCTAGATTTTCCTGGAAATTTTCCCATAAACCATATGAAATGTGATACGACCAAGCTTGACATTAGGCCTAGTTTAACAGCAGACCTGCAAGGAGGAGTGATTATAAGGTCACTCTCCTAATCCGATTTACATTTATGAATAAACAGTGGATTCTTGTTCGTGGGTATAGTGTGCAGTTTCACATATAACCTTAAACAGGATGTCATTCAGAAGCTCCATATTCTGGTTTGGGAGGTGTCTGGATTTTCTCATAAAAGCGCTGTCTAGCAGGATATTGAGTTATATAGCTTGGTGCAGACACAACAGCAATTCCTTTCATCATAAAAGATGAGTGATGGTTAAATAAACTGCTATATGTATAATAGCCCCATTGCATCTTCTAAAGCGTACTGTACACGTTGTATACCTAGAAGCGAACAGCTTCGTTGCTGCAAAGGAGAAAATACACACTCCCTCTTCAATAAAACAAGAAGGGGCTGCAAATCTTAAAAGCTGTAAGCAACTTTGTTCATGGACAACCATCTGCGATGATCTGAATAAGGCTTAAGATGACTGCAAAAGATTTTTTTTTTTTTTGTTTTTTGTTTATCACGGCTATTTTACCCACTCAGCCAAGGGGTACCTAAGTGTGGAACTAATTCCGGGGATGGGGAGAATTGGTATTGTCCTAAAATAATCTTGCTGTTACGTGAAAGTGGTTATTAGTGATGTCCCGAACGACTCGCCGCGGACGGTGAACATATGCGGTAAACTTTGACCCTGTACCTCAGTCAGCAGACACATTCTAGCCAATCAGCAGCAGACACTCCCTCATGGACAGTTCACTAAGAATGCAGCTTCACAATGAATGTAAAATGGAAGCTGTCTGGGAGGGAGGGTCTGCTGCTGATTGGCTGGAATGTGTCTGACTGTGGTACAGGGTCAAAGTTTACCGCATATGTTCGCCGTCCGTGGTGAACTGTTCGGGACATCACTAGTGGTTATATATAGCTGACCACTCAAGTTTAATTCTGTAAATATTTATATAGCAAAACTCTAGTACTGACAAGGACTCTACTTTACTGAATCCGTGGTACAGAAACTCTGGAATAAGGTGTTGAAGTGAATAGCTCTATACCACCCAAGTAACTTGACAACACAGTTCTGGGAGTAAAACTAAAGTTTAAGTGAGCCATTCCGCTTTTATGCACAGACCCCAGCATGGAGTCTTTATTCAAAACAAGCGCTTCCAGGCATCCCTGTGTCTGGGAGATAATGAGTCACAGGTAACTTGACTGTCTTTTAGGAACCACATAAATGCATAAAACACCCCAAAAATGGTAATCATACACTAGACTAAAGTCTTATATCCATAAATACCTTGGGTCTCAGTGCTCAGATCCCTTCGGTAGAACAGAATTGTTGTTCGGGTAAAGTTCTGACCGTCATGAGGTGATGGCCCAAAATGGTTCCAGAGGAAGAGGCAACGGGCAGTCAACTTTCAGGAGCTCTGGTGTGAACACAGGTGAATGTTCCCTCTGGCTTTTAGGGAGAAAATGTCTCCCCAAGTCAGTAGTTCCTCTCTCCTGAATGGCATTCTCCTAACTTGTCTGGGAGCCAATGTGATGGTGATAAAGTTTTCTCCAGGGTTTGGCGGATCAAGTAGTCGAAAAGAATTCCATGCGTTCGACCATGTACTCCCTCCTGTTAGGGAGACAAAATGGCTGCCATTCACTAGAGCACATGTTTGGTTATATGAATGGTGGGCCCCCAGGACAAGCACATGAGTTTATGGCTCTCTTGAAGTTAAGCCAGGGGTGACAACTGAACGGAGGTGAATAAGTATGCTACAGTTTATAAATAAAATGATGCATTGATAAACACTTATTACTCATGCGTGTCTTCAATTTGTCAAACTACCACAAGCATTTCCAAGCTGCAAATATGATATAATGGGGGTCTTTGCATTTGATGCTGACAAAGCTAGTATTTGTATATTCATCTTTAAAGCATTTGCTGGGTTTTTATGCATGTCCTAATGATTATGGCTTCATATTGTTGCAGTTTTGTATTTGTATAATGAATCACTTTATCTCTATTCCAGAGCCCCACATCTTGCTGTTCCGAAGGCCCTTGCCAAAGAAGGCTTAATATCCTAGATCATGGCTATTGTCTACATGCGAGCACCTTTCTCTCAAAGCAAGTTTTCCTTGGATTTTGTCGTCGCATAATATTCTTCACTTCTGGACTAATTGATTTTTCATCAAGATCCACACTGAAGGGAAAATGGGCAGAATAGATATTTATATTATCTGAATTTTATATGTAGGCTAATGCAGCAGTTGTCGCTCTTGGCAAGGACTAGGTAGTGGTGTGCTGTAACTTATATTGTCGTGTGTTTATTATTTTAAAACAAAACACACAAATAGTGATCACCCCAATCAACTCTGAAAACTGATACAACTAAATGGCAAAAAACAGAAAATTGGTGTATTGTGGAGGTTAATAAATGAGTGTTAATACCTTGGGATATTTCTTGATACTGGTCACTCACAATCCACATATAGCTCCAATATGCAGTGCCAGATTCCTAATTTTTCATCATATTTTGTTTTTTAGACGCCTAGGATTGAGTGCTCTTAAGACTTGAGTTTGCATCCTTGGTTCTCTTTAGTAACCCATTTTTCTTCAGTCTTGCTGACTGTTCATACCAGGTCCTTAACCCCTTAAGGACACATGTCATGATTCCCTTTTATTCCAGATGTGTTGTCCTTAAGGGGTTAAGATATGAACCTTTTTTTGGGTTGGGGGGGGGGTCTAAGGCTTACTCCCCTCCTTTCCCAGTTGTCATGTGGATTGTGAGTTGTGTATTGGCACTCAATCTTATTAACCTCCAATTTATTGGTCTCTTATTATATACACCACACAAATTTTGTTTTCTTTTGGTTTTTTTTATTCTGACACTGCAAGTCTATGGAATGGCTTTTCTTTTTTCTTAAAACTCACTTTAATAAAGTGACTCTTGTTTTATACACGCTTTGTCTTGTTAATGTGTAAATACAGGGTGGGTCTGTGATGCGGCTTGTGAATGGACATAAACCTTGTCTGCTCCTGGTTAATGTTGCCTGTTCTGTAAGCAGTTTGGGCACCTAATCCCCATATTGGCTCAAATCAGTTTGTAAAATGTCAGTTTGTGCATGTATACAGCATATGGGAACACATCGCATCATGAGAAAATGTTAGTACCAGTACCTGGCTGTGGTCTTTATGTGCCTCACCTCTACTCCAGAGCTGGTAAATGCTACAATAGCATTTGCTAATGTGATGGGAAGCAGAACTCTGGTCATGAAAAAGTGCTTTCACATTGAAACAGTAAGCATTTTTTTTATTTTGGTTTAGAACCTGTGAGTACAAAATTTATCTCTGGAATTGGCAGCTCCTCATTTTCCCACCCCAGTAAAGTCTGGACTCAGTAAAGCAGGCTTCCTCAAGATGTTGCTGAACTAAAACTCCCATGATTCTGAATTAAATAGCCATAGCTCAACATCTGGAGGGCCGTAGTCCAGGGCATCCTGTTGTAAAGCGTTAATCAAAGCATAAACCATATTTACTTTTGCAGAGCAAAGGGTGAGCAGAATCAGCCAGGGCCTCCTGGGATTGCTAATTCAAAAGTTTTACACTTGACATTTATCCGCATTGTAAAAGACAAGTTGCCACAACCCTGGTCTTTACCAGATGAAGCAGACAAGCAGATTCTTGACATCTCACCTGGATCTTGCTGGGTGCAAGCGAAGTACAGGGCTACCTCATATTGTCAAAGTAACTTTCTTTCAGTCTGCACTTGGCTCAGTACTGAAGCTTCTGTCTAAAGAGGCAGCAGACCCCATGAATATCTATCAAACCATTCTAAAAATGTCTGCTTACTTTCTCTGGGCAGGTGCAAGGATCCTTCTTGCATCACTACCATTAAATAGAACTGTAGTGTTTTTGGTCTTTTATTTTTTGTTCAGATCAATATTTTCATCAATACTAGGTTTTAAAATACAGATTAAATTGATAAAGTAAAACACTGGCAACAAGGTATATGGAGGCTTTGAGGACCCTACCAGATTCTGTTAAAGTTAATGGCACCATAATTATACAAACAAGTAGTGGTTATAGTGACTTTTTTTTTTTTGTACTGCAATGGAGGGGGGATAGTTAATGGTATTGGTAAATGGCAAGATCTCCACTTTGTTTCCATTTGCAGAAAAAAAGTTGGTACCATTGTTAATTTTGGCAGCAAATTTCAATTTAGTTAGTCACTTTTGACTAAAGCCATTTTAGGCTTAGTCGTATTGGTCATCTGAACTGATTAATGGGTTGTCTCTCTAACCCGTTCTCACAGCCTTTCTAGGTGTCTCTCCCAAGCCCTTGTCTATATATTTTTATTTTATTTTTTTCCCTCCTTCCACAGCCACTCAGTGCAGTGTTAAATTTTGAGGTAAACTTTTTTTATTTTAGTTTTAGTGAGTCTTCTGACTAAAGCCATTTTGTCATCTAAATCATTAGATGACAAAATGTAACACTGGTTAATACACTGAAAGAAGTGTGTAAACCTCATCAGGATCAAGGTGAAATGGGAACGATCATCTCGGGGCTTCACATAGAAACTCTTGTGAACATGTATTGTATATCTAATGTTCTGACAGGGCAAACATGACAAAATATAGGGTTTGTCTTCTGCTTTTTGTGTGCTGTCTGCCAGGTGTAAAGGGCAGAGTTTATAAACCATGACTGACAGGAATCCAATATAGAGGTTCCCAGTTGCAGTGTAAAGATGTCTGGATTATTTTATATTGTATTTTTCCCACATATTACAAATGTATTCTATGGATAAACAATATTAAATCCTGGCAAGTGATTATGAGCCTAAACTATTACTGGTTCTAATGGGTAACATTTATTAGTTAATCTTTGTTTGATTAGCATGTGTTTCTGAAGACAGTTTCCAAAAAACACAATTAAATAATTTGTATAAGGCGACCAGTTTATCAGAGCGCAATGCAACGGGCGCTAAAGAGCTCCATTATGGAGACAATGTGACCATGCTCTTGTGTTTAGAGCTTTACAATCGGCTTCCTTATTTGCGTTCAGCCAATCCTAGAGGATGCCGGGAAGAGTGACATCCGTGGCAGCCAATGGAATCCAAGAAAAGCTGAGCGTGTACCTCTGTTTGCCCTGAGCAGCTCACTCTAAGTCAAAAGATCCCGGAAGTCAGGTGAGAGTTGCTGGGGCCACACGTGGGGTCCCCTGTACTTTCATTTCTGGGTTTAAACTCCACACAGGTCATTAATGTGTGTTCCCCAGAATCCTTCGAATACTAAACAGGCTGATTTGTAGTCAGGATAGGGTTCACTCACATAGAGACTCTATAGAGGTACCCCCTAGCCTGGCCCCTTTTATTATGCTTGTCCCACAGCTGGAGGATATGGCCTCCAAATCCCAGGGTAACTGGATTATTTTATGTAACTGTGTTTTGGGGTTCACTTGGGAGTGGTGGAGTTGGCTTTTAAAGCTGCTGTGTGCAGTTTATTGAAAGGACCAGCCTGTAACAACAACAAGAACTGTCAGTATTGTCTTATAACTTCAGTCTGCAATCCTACTTTTACTAATCAGAAATTATTATTGGTATTTATATAGCGCCAACTAATTCCGCAGCACTTTACAATATTATGAAAGGGGGTGGGGGGAATTTACAATAAATTAGACAATTACACAGTGACGCAGGAACAATGGGTAGATGAGGACCCTGCTCAAATGAGCTTACAGTCTAGAGGAGGTGGGATCAGATTAACACAGCCAGGAGTTCTGCTCATGACATTTCTCTTTCAAGGCAACCGTCTGTAGCCGTAGTGATTTTGACCCTAATGTATGCATGCAGAGGCCTGAGGCTGAGCAGAGGGTTGTTTCGATTGGAGAGACTGCAAACACACTTGACCATGTATTCCAACAACATCAACAAAGCATCTTCAGAGAACAACGGTCCAGAGGCCAGACCTGTGACTGCTGGAATCATCATCATAGGGGATGAGATCCTTAAGGTGAGGTTTTCATAGATTTTTCTTCATTTCTTTAAATTTCTCAAAACGTTCACGTTAATCTGTCAGCAGTAGGTAGAGGTATGGTATTCACCCACCTTGCACTCCTACATTCTGAAAGTACT